AACTTCTTCTGTAACTGTGAAAAATATCCTGTGGGAAAACTGTATCTAGTACATTCCATGTGTATTTATGTTCAACGTACAAATGCTAACCAAAAATAAAAGGTTACTTTACCAAAATCTACAGCATACTGTTTGCCATGGAAAAAAATCAGAAACAGGTGTACACAGCACTTAAGGGAACATGTTTTTAAAATCTTCTTATTTATTGTTATTGTATAGCAGATTTTTTTTTTGTAAATGTACTAGCTATGAGGTTTTTTCTTTTAATGTTTCAAATCTAAATTTGCTAAATAATTACTATTCAGCTAGGTTTCTTATGCATTGGCATTTATTCTGAATCAATTTATTTGATTTCTGAAGTTAATTTTTATATTTTATTTTGTAAATGGGGTTTGGTTTTCATTTTACCCTGATTAGAGGGTTTGTTTTCTGGCAGAAACACTTGAGTGCATAATTCTGTTTTGGTTTTTTTCTGAGACGAGGGAGAAGGTGGATAGTGCTTCTTATTAACTCTGCTGCCACATTCCTCTTAATAGATTATTATTTTGGCAGCGTATGGAGACACTGGGCAAACTGCCACCTGGTATAGACTGTATCAGCTGTGTTGCAGTCAAAAGAATTGGGACAGCATGCTCTGAGCATCTGCCCTAATATTATTTGACTGTTTACAAAGGACATTTCTAAGAGAGGATTGTTTTTCTGTATCATCACCAAATGATTCAAAATAAGCCACCCACTGTGCTTTTATGAGCACTTCTCTACAAATTGAAGAATAACTGCTTTGTTAAGGAGAAAATACAATTGAGATTTAGAGAAGAATGCTATTTCCCTAACAGGCCAGGTCATGTTAGCATAATACTTGTTTTCTTAGTAATTATCCATATGATTTGCTTCCCGAAAAAGACTTGAAGCAACAGGCTGGCTTAGGATTTGACAGGCAACTAAATATTCTTCTTTGTTTTTCATGAAATAATCAGATACTTTTCCCCCCTCCCCCCTCAACACTGAAAAGAAAAGACTGCATGTTACAAAATGAAAATTTTGGTAAATAGAGCGAGCGTGACAGAGGACTGGCAATCTTCACTGTTTGCTAGAGAATTCTGCTTTCCCATTACGCTGTGGTTTTGTTTACACAATCCAGACCCAACCAACATTAGGACGCTGTTCTGCCCTTAGACTCGAATGTGTCATGGTCCTGAGAAAGGTGCGTTTTAGAAACAGTAGTGTGCTTCCATGCATTAAACAGTACAGTCTAATTTTGGAATATTATCAAGTAATACAACTAATTTAGTTACTGTTCTTCCCTTTTTGTTTTTGAAAAAAATAAAAAAAAAAAAAAGCGGCCAAGTGGTTTTCTCTCAAAAGCACTACTAAATCTTAATCCTGCACAGAAATTTCACAGTCTAAAAGCCAATGCTATACACAGTAAGCCTGTAAGACACTGCACGTGAGCTTTTCACACTTCCCTTCTATGTGGTCTACTACAGACATAAATCAAGTTCATATTGGTAATGCTGTAAAATATTTTGGAAGCTGCTAACAGCGTAATGCTTTGAAGATACCAGGAATATCTAATACTGTTCGCTCTTTTAAACGGTGGCAGACCACTTAATAGTTAAGAAAAAAAAAAACCAAACACCAAACCAAGTTCAACATTTTACATATGTTTCACTATTGCTACCTACAACTTACTCCATTATATTATCCTTGTCAGAGCATATCTAAACGCTGTGGTCTATATTCAAAACAGTGTTCAATCAAAATTCTGTGACCCTTGAAACTATGAATATTGAATATATGTAATGCAGTGCTATCACAATATTTTCAATAAAGGAATTTATGCATTCAGAAGCTTGTTACAGATGTTTTCTCTTTTATTCACAAACTTTAGTACATTTTAAAGACGGAAGGATGCAGCTTTAGTTACAGGTTATGCTGACAAATACCTACGCCTCCCTTCAAAAAGAATTCCAGCAATATCGTATTTCAGAAACATGGCTAAGAAGTTGGGGGTTTTTGTCTTTTGTTTTGTTTGGTTCTTTTTTCTTGTGTGGTATGGCATCTCCAAAAAGAGACGTGTCTTGAGTTCACTCAAAGACAGACTGTGACAAGGGGGTAAGAAATACCAGTAATCCTGTTCCGGTTTAACAGTAGTTTAACTAGTAGTTCTCGTTGCTTCTCTCAGCTGTAGTGAATGACATGTATTCCCTCATTGTTTTTGACCATCCTGGTCCCAGAAGTCAAAAGTCCGTGTACATCGTTTTTGTACGCACCCTTGTTACGTTTCTAAAGTCTTCATGTGTTTTTCTTTCTGTCCGAGCAAGACAAAGGCATACAGTGTCTTAAAAGTACTTGAGTTTTGCCTTTATTGGTTTTATGGTATACAGAGGTGGCATTAAGAAAAAACAAACTACGGTTACGCATGAAAGGGAACAAGTATGCTATCTGTGAACCTTGCTCTGAGTGCAGTGGCAGTAAGAATTTTCTTAAGAGGAAAATTACGGTCACTAGTAATTTTTCTCTCAGAGGGAGAACAAAAGCTTGCTCTTGCAACACGAAGCATACGTACTTTAGTGGTACGTGGATAAAGATTTCTGATTCAGGACAGTGTTGAAATGCTCATTCACAACAAGGCTTGTAGGCGCCCGCCTAAGTGCAGATGTTCAATTTGGTGCTGGTTTCAGTGCAGTTTTTGCACCGGATGTTTTGTACAAAGCTGGCTTTAGAGCAAAGTAAAACCCATTACTTTCAGAATAATCCTCGTGTGTAAACTTTCAAGATTTCACTTGCCTGTTTGTAGCAGAGAAAAGGAGCGGGTCAGCTCGCTGCAAAGGGATTGCCTCGCGCTCTGCAGGTCAGCAATTGCTGGCAAATGAGCTTCTTCGAGTAGAATAGCTGTGTCCCACTTGTACAAGCACAGCTCTCTTGCTCTGAAAGAAATGCATTTTTGAAAAATCTCATTCTAAATTTTGCAACTCGTTACCACGAGTTAGGTGGTGGTAGCTCCTAACTACGGCCTGTTGTCTGTGGAACAAGTACTTTGTGCCATTTGGGCTGCGTGAAGAACATAAACATTGAAATTCTGTAGTCAGAGATTCTGCAGCTCTGCAACTCTAGTCTAATGAAGAGTGCAAGCCATTTAAAATACAAATTCTTAAGAACACATTTTTAGAAATTGAAGGTTAGCTACCACTTAGAAATACCCTCCGGTAGCGTCGGAAGCGGTTGATAACGCTGAGGGTGGTGAAGCACTGGCACAGGTCGCCCAGAGGGGTGGTGGATGCCCCATCCCTGGAAACATTCCAGGTCAGGTTGGACGGGGCTCTGAGCAACCTGATCTAGTTGAAGATGTCCCTGCCCACGGCAGGGGGGTTGGGCTAGGTGACCTTTAGAGGTCCCTTCCAACCCAAACCATTCTATGATTGATTCTATGAATTGGATGAGCTCAGAATGCATTCACTTAATTTTATTCCCAGTTTGTACCTTTTGTTTTTGTTTTTTTTTTAAGCGAAAACTCATGGTGAGCAGACTTCATGTATTTTTATCGAGGCTTCAGCGTGCGGCTGGAGGTTTGCGTCAAGCCGGCGGCGGCATTCAGTGCCCCACAGGCGCAGAACCGGGCCGCGTCAGGGGTGGATCAGCGGCTGC